GTGCGTGCGTGTGTGTGTGTGTGTGTGTGTGTGTGCGTGTTTCTTGTGTAAGCTGAAAGACGCGAAAAATTATTGAAATAGCTATTACTCCAAGGGTTCAGGGGATCTCGTAGTCGAGTAGTCTCGACTAGAGCTTTCTTACTTGTTTTTAACTTGATACTGTAGGTCAAGTCGCGTGTGGGGACCTGGCCCCCACGGACCTGGGTTAAGTTTGAATAAGCTGACTGATTCCAGTAAGTTTATAGTATTATTTTTGTTGCTCGCTTTTAACTCTAAATTTTATTCATTCTCAACTGTCTTTCTATAACGTTCATAAATAAGTTAAATTCAGTTTGCATATAAGATGCTGTTAGTAACGCAGGCCTAGATGTTCGTAGAGTGGAATCTCCAAGACTGATTCGCTGGTTTTCATTTCCTGGAAGTCTCCACCCTGTAGTAGATACAGTGGCCGAGCCAATTTTGGATTGTTTAAGTAAAAATCAATAAGCGCAGTGGTGCTGCGAAGATGGGTAATGCCTTTGAAAATCTTCTCACGTGTGAGAAGATCATTTGGGTAAACCGTTTCGATGATCTTATCCCCGGGGCGCTTAATCCAAGGCCGATCCTTGAGAGGTACAGTGCGTCCAAAAGCGCTAAGCAACGGCTTTTGTGTCACGCGGCTTGCATGGTCGTTAATATGTTTCTCGTATTTGAGTTCAATCGCCATCTAAAAAATATATGGATTTCGATAGTTAAGTGTGATATCGTTATATGAGCTTTAAAAGAGACCTTACATGAGGCTTGTTCCATTTGTCGGCTACTGTCTGAGCTATGGCGTTGACTTCCTTTGGATCGGTTTTGACTGACGCAAGTAGTGTACGATCGCCTTTGATTGAAAATAAGTTCTTAACCTTCTCCGGCGTCATGGATGTATCCATTGTGCCGATAGAATTGAGCCAGTGAATGAACCGCTCAGCAGACTGTCAAAGGTTGAAGTTAGGGCCATTGCATACCACACTCAAGAATCATTAGTTACCGCATCCATTAGATTCTCTGCCTGTTCGTCAAGCGTGTACGCCGAATCGCCCGTCTTGGAACGTTCTACTCGGGAGTGCCAGCAAACACGTTCCTCACGACTGGCACACAAAAATTTTGCGTACCAGCTGGTCTTATCGACACTACGATGGGTATGCCCTACCGGCTCATCTAGTCTCAGGTCAAATTTCTCAAACTCATGGTCCATGCGAACTATATCTGAGTGTTGGCTTTCGCTAAAATGCTCCTCAACTTTCTTTCGGTCCGTTATCTAAACAATAATTTGTTACAAATATACATATATGTATATGTTTTGTACTAGTCCAAAATCAATATCATAAAATATTTACTTACAAGGGGGGCGCCTTCCTGCCCCTCTTCGCGGCTATCCTCACTGACTATCTGGTATTCATGCGGACGCTCTTGACGCATCTCTTCCCGAATGTAAACAACATCGTCTGAGGTTGAGAAATCGTAGGCTTGGATCTCCTTTACGCGCTCACAAAGATGTGGTGGCAGGACTAGGGAGTAGTCGATGACAGGTAGACGCGGTTGCGAAACGCAGTGTACAGCAAACTCCACCTCGTTAATGACGTCGCGCCAGTATGCCTTGCCATGCAGACCACCGCGAGGCCGAAGGTGGGCGAACTCGCTGATAATGCTTGAGGAATGAGAAGCACTCCCCTGGGCACCATCTTGGCTACCATTTTCATCGCTGTATCTGTAGCTATCTTCGCTAGAAGTTTTCAACTCGCCTAATTTACTTATTGAATTAATTTTTTTTTTTGAAAAATCCATTGTTGTTTCTGTTACCTTGATACAGCTATAGATATGCTTTTGAAATGTTTATTCAATACTCAAAGCTGTAAAAGCTGTCAAAGCTATCACAGCTTACTGATTTAAAAAGCTTATGGGCTCAAGTTTTGGCTATTAATTCAATGCAATTTTTAGTCCAGACAAAAACGCATTTCACTGCGAAAGCTTAATGCGAGTTTGTGAATCGGGTTGTAAGCTTGAAAAGCCAACTAAAAAAGTTTATGTGAGGTGTGTGTCTGAGAATTAGTTCAAATTGAGGTATTTTGCCAAACAGAAGAACTTTTATGATGAGAATTAGTTCGAATTGAGTTGTTTTAGCCAAACAGAAGAACATTTATACTTTTGTTAATTATATTTTACAAATATTTCATTACATTTGCGAAGATAAGCGGTTTATTAACCGTATTACCTACTTTGTGAACAACATCAGTGTTTGTTCCACGCATGCGCCTAGCAAACTGAACTTTCATATATGTATATACTGCACGGTAAAGCTTCATACACAGCAAATATGTTGATTTACGTGCTGAAATCTGTTATTCGCATTCATAACACAACACATTGATATAACTGACACCTATTAGTGTATAGAGAGAAGGAATTGTTCTATATAAATCGAATCCAAAACTTATAAATTGAAAACTGTGTATATTGAGTTTTTTGACTCAGAGAGCGATGTTTAGTATGAGGGGCCTGGAGTGTTGACAGATAATAAGAGATTATCAGTATTGGCTATACTTTAGGAACTTATTTGTTGAATAGATCCTGTGTAGATAGACTTTCTAAATGAAATTATTTCAGAGCACGATGATCACTTCGATGGCCACTGACACCTTCCCATGTGCGTATTTGCTAATGCACAGGTGCATGTATGTATGTGCATGTACACGCACGTTTCGATTTAGTCCTCTTCGTTTGTTTGTAAATGTGAGCCCGTCTATCTCAGCACCTATAAGAACTAGATATTTGAGTTTTTCGGTAGACTACTGTATGACACACGCAGATCGAGTCTGTTTCAAAAAGCCAATAAATACTCTTATTTTACTGTTATCGATTAAAAATCTTGCGTTCGCACTTGGCATGCATCTGTGCGTAGGCTTACATATGTATATGCGTTACATACATATGAACATTTACCCATTAAAACATGTCCCAGATTGAATTCTGCTTAAATTATCAGCAGCTAGTTAAACTTCGTGATGCTATTTTGTTGTAAAATTGCAAATTTGAAAATGTAATTAAATGTTATATCATTTTTTATACATTCATGCCATATTTAAAATCGGAGTATATTTAAATTCAGACGGGATTTAGGTAACCTCCTAGTTTGGCATCTTTGACAATCACACTTGTTTAAACTAATATTTTAGTTGACAAATGTGAGCATCAAAGTATTTAAATAAATACAGGAAACAAAGCCATTATGCCTTGATTTTCCGTTTTCAATGGGCTCAGTTCAGCATGGGAGGTTTCATGAGGTTTCAACAGCATGTTATGCAAAGCTATAAATATATGTATGTATATTATTGAGGTAAATTTCTGTACAAAAGAGCACTTCAGAAATAAATATTAAAGTGTTTAGATAATCGTCTGGTCACGTAGGTATACTTTTGGGAGGTATTTATTTCAGATTGATTTTTCATGATTTTAGCGTAACAGCAACGAAAAGGGCAACTTAATGTGAGCTGCAATATTCAGAGCGCTGCTCCAAAGAATTCGATGGCTTGGAATTTGAAAGCTCGTGGCACTGACAGTCTGCTCCGAATAGAAGGGATACCCAAGTACATAAGTGACAAAGACAACTTTGCAAAAATTGTGCGCATATTAAAATTCTTGGCAAAAGCTTTTGACATAAATTAAAACTTTTTATCAACGAACACATGGCACAGATACTGACATACAAGCTCAAGCGGAAAAGTAAAAGGTGCTCCATAAGACCCAGCACAAAGGATGTAAAATTATATTGGTTTTATGCAAGCGACTTTAGGCTTTCCATCCATCCAGACGGATGCATGCGATCCCTACAGATGCTAAGAAACTGTAACTCTTGTAACTACTAGGATACGAAAAGCATTCAAATGGAAGAGTCACGATAATCAATACATTTCCATTAAGTTGAACAATTTTATGGAAATCTCAGACTTGAATATATAATATTTAAAGTTGATAGTTGATCGGAATAAAGCTAGAGTAAAATATATGACTTAATGATTGAAGGTGCTCTAACTCTACGAGTCTATGAGTTAATCGAGATTGCTCCAAATATTGCTCACTTGTGTACGCCCGCCGACAGCAGTGGGAAAAAGAAACGCCAATTTAAGTCTTTTATGTAGGACGCTGACACATTCGAAGGCTGATTAAAAACTTTTTTAATTAATTTCCATACCGAAAATAACTGGCAGATCGAGGGGGGTAGCCAAATGCAGAGCGTAGCCTCCATAAAGAGCTGGAGCTGGCGCCGAAGTCATCGTCAAATCAATTGAACAAAAGTTTTCTGAGACTGTGGGCTCTGCCCTGGGCCAGGGTGGAGCTCTATGTATATTTTTCATCGGCATTGCCTCTAATTTGTAAGGCTGAAGCTTGAAACATTGATATCACTTACAGGGCACATCGGCAGCGGCACATGATTGCCTTACCAAGCGCACATCAAAAATTAATTTCACTCCATTGCTGAGCTCCTCTGCTCCACTCAAGTTTTGCTAAAAATTATTTATGAGATTACTGGGCGTGTCTATGAGTCAGAGTAGGAGTTGAAGTTGGGAGAGTAGGCAAAGCTGTCACCTACGTGATTGTTGGCACTAGCGCGTGATTTTTCCCGTGCCTGTGAGAAAACTTTTTCAATAATATATAAATCAAAACGTCATAAAGTCACGGTCGCATATTGCCGGATTGCTTCGTGCCGTTCGGTCGACATATAGTGACAGATTTCATTTGCTTTTATTTGGGTACGCAACAATTCGTCTTGGCAGATATTTTCGTAGACAATTTAAGTTGCTATTACTTAGCACTGATGTGTATTTAATATATATATTGGTGAACGTCTGAATGTCTATTCAGAAACCGCCTACGCCCTCCTGCTTGCCTGAGTCCACCTGCCCATCTGCTCATCTGCCCGCCTGCTTACCTGTCCGCCTGCCCGCCTACCCGCCTGCGCCCAGCTGTTACCTGTCTGAAGTCTTCTTGGTGTCTGCCAGAATCGCTGCAGCGTCCTTTTCTTTCCTTTCAACTTTTTTTACATTCATGGAAATATGTCACAAAATTTATTGCAAAATAATTTTGCGACTGTGACTGTGTGTGTGTGTGTGTGTGTGTGGGTATATATGTGTGGCTCTAATGTCCACGCCGGGCCCATGTGAACGGGAAACAGTCAACCGTCATTTTGGCTATTTAAGGAGCGTCTTTCTAGCAACTTTACGTTTTGTTCTTGCCGCTGCTGTCACGCTCTGTGTCCTTTGTGCACATTAAAATATTAAAAATTCCTTTAGAATCTCAAGAATGTATCTCTCCCTCTCTCGCCATATGCCGTATGCGGCGTAAAAACTTTTTGGCAAAGAATAAATATTTATTATCTCTTTTTGTCGGAAGGCGTTTAACTTAGCCAAGCGGGAAACTGCCTTTGATGCGCAGATACGAGCTTAAAAATGCCCTCGATTACAAAGAATTTTGTATACAATTCATTATTGAATTAAGAGTGCAAAACACTTGCGAAAATTGGGTAGAGACGCTCTTGCAAGAGGCACTTGCAAGAGGCACCTACGGAATCCAATCCACGAACCTGATGGAAAAATCAAGCACGAATAACTACTATATGCGAGTCGAAGATTATCTGCTGCCACGTTCAACCATATCACTCAATTGCATTCCAGTGCCCGCTATCCACGGCAATGTTCCGCTGCAAACATTGCGGCGTATGGACTTTGCCTGCAAACAAAATTAAATGAAACGAGTGCAGAGATAGTACGTAAATGTTTGTTTTTGTGCGTTTGAATGCGAAATATTTTTCACAAATATTTTGAAAAATGCGCTCAAAAGCGGTTCAATGTAATCGTCTGTCTGTGTGTGCATCAAAGTACATATGTATGCACGTATATATACACATATA